CGACAGGTCTCTTCTCTTTCTCTCTCTTCCTTTCTCTGTCTTCCTTCTTGCCTCCTCCCCATGCTCCTTCCCTTCCTAACCTGCAGCGCATCCTTCGGTAAGGCATAGAAGATGTAAAACAGAGTCTCTTGCGCAAATTTGCCAAAGTGGGCGAGCTTTAGGGCTAGTCGAAGGAGGGAAAGAAGGGGCGGAGGGAGGGAGGTCAGGGCACAGGGAACAGCATTGCGGAGGCGAGACAAACATGCTGACAGAGATAAGAGGTGGGAGAGGAAGGAAGGGCGGGAGGGAGGGAGGAGTGACTGCAAATATTTAAGGGCTGAGGTGGTATTACATTGCTTCTGCAGATTGTAGCAGGAGGGTAGGAAGAACTTGGGCTCCCTCGTGGTGGGTGTCTCCGCCCAGGGAGAGGCGAAGGTGGCATACAGGGCCTCCGTGGCGTTCAGGTTGAGCCCCAGGGTGGTCAGATCGCTCCCTGCGCAAAGGCGGGAGAGAAGGAGGCAGGGAGGGAGGGTGAGAGGGCCATGGAGAAGGGCTTCAAGGGGTGCGGCACAGGGAGGGTCTACGAGCGGAAGGAGAACAGGAAGGAGGAGGCGGGAAGGGGAGGGAGGGAGGGAGAAAGGGGGGAAGGGTGGAGGGTAGGCACCTAAGGCTAGGGTGTTGAGGTCCGGATCTGTCATGCGAATGACGGAGAGGAGGCCGATAAGACCATAGGCCTCTCCGCCCCTTGATTTCTGCTGCTGGGGGGATGATAGAGAGGGAAAGAAAATCAAAAAAGAGAGGGTGAGAGCGATCGCCAAGAAAAGAGGGGGTAAAAAAGAGGGGCCGTGCAAGGAGTCGAGCACTGACCTGCGGCGGCAACGTGGAGGGTTTGACGCCCTCAATAAGGGGAGGGGGAGCTAGAGAGGACCCAAGGAGGGAGGGAGGGAAGGAGGGAGGGACCCCGTGAGTGCGCTTTGATTCGACAGGTCCAAAAGCCACAGGCATCGATTACGATGGGTTGTGTACGATAGCCATCCACGGTCCAGGTGCATCCATCATCCCTTCCCTCTCCCTCCTAGCCCTAACCCTAACCCTAACCCTAACCCTAACCCTAACCCTAACCCTAACCCTAGACGACTCCCCCCTCTGCCCCTTCTTATTTCTCGCCCCCGGCATACGGCCAATACGCGCCCCCTGACCCCCCACCTGACGACGGCTGTTGCTGTTGTTGTTGCTGTTGCTGAGGTTGTTGCTGTGGTTGTTGCTGTTGTTGCTGTTGTTGTTGTGGTTGTTGCTGCCGTGGGACCTGCTGCACCTGTCCCCCTCCTCCTCCAGCACCTCCCTCCCGCCCTCCTCCTCCTTCGCTTCCAGGTAGGGCCGGAAAATCTTCCTGTTGGATGGCAAAGGCACCTTGGCAAGTACATGAGGAAGGAGGGAGGGAGGGAGCGGAGGAGATCAAAGAAAGGAGACAGGAAGCAGTGAACTTGACGCGACACGCTTCTCCAACCTCCCTCTCCCGCCGTCCAACCCCTTTTCCCCTGACCTCCCTTGCCCTTCTTCCCTCCTTTGTTTGGCCAGTACCTCCCGGGGCTCCCGCGATGGTCCCTGGAACATCGCCCGGCCCCATCCCGCCCTCCCCCGCCGCGGCCCCGACGAGCCGGCTGTACTTGGGCTGAGGGCCTCCGTACTGGATGCTCTGATGGAAGCGACGGAAGCCAAGGCAGGGAGCGAAGGTTAAGCGCATGAGGGGGAGAGTGGTGTGGACTCCCAGAAAAGGAACTCCTTCCCTCCCTCCCTCCCTCCTTCCCTCCCTCCCCCCCTCGCTCCCTCCCTCTCTCCCTCCCTCCCGCCCCCCCTCGCTCCCTCCCTCTATCCCTCCCTCCCGCCCCCCCTCGCTCCCTCACCACGGAACCCACCTCCTCCTGCAGAGACATTTGACCCATGCGTTGCTGCATGTTGGCCATCGCGGTCCCCCCTCCTCCGCCCCCGCCCATCCCGCCCCCCGGCGCCAAGGCTGGGAACTCGCTTAAATCAAAGGTCAAGGGTCCCGCCGGTGCGTTCCTCGGAGGCCCATATGATGGGTTACCCAACGCTTGCTGCGGGCGACGCATTTCAGTGTGCGATGATGGTGGCGGGGATTGATGTCCGGTGCGAGGGGAGGAAATGGAACGGAGAGAGCGAGAGGAAGGGGGAAGCAAAGGGGGGGGAGGTATGAGAAACATCATGTGCGGGACGACCTCTTGCCTCAAGGCCTTCTTCCTTCCTCCATCCCACTCGTACCAAGCTGGACATTCGCCCCTTCGTCCCTCCGAATTGCTGGTTTCCTCCTACCCCTCCTCCTTGTCCCCCGCCTCCGTTCTGATGTGTTGAGGGTGCTCCGACATAACCCAATCCCCCTATGATTCCTCCTCCTCCTCCTCCGCCGGGGAAGCCTACCGAGGCATTCTCTGCATGTGGCAGTGCATGATATCCCATGAAGAAAGATGAGCAAGAGGGGAAGAGGGAAAGAAAGAGGACATCTTCTCATGCGAGGTACTCACCAGCCCGACCCCCCGGCCCCGCGCGAAATGAGGTCGACTTCTCCACGCTTCTTTTGCTTGATCCTCGGCCAGAAGGCTTGGGCCAAGGTATTGAATAGAAGTATGTCGACTTAAAAAGTTGAATTCCTGTACGTACGAATTGTGAGTGGGGAAAGCCATGAGTTCAGGAAAAGGAAGATTTCATCACCCTCTCAGCACGACGCAAGCACCTTCATCTCTTCGCGAGTCGAAGAGCTATCTTCGCGACTTTACACTCCTGACTTTACTAAACCATCACAACTTTGTCAATTAACCAGTATGAAGCTCCTTTCAATCGTTCCCGCAGGATTTTCGACCGTTTGAACGGCCACGAGTTGTGTTTTCCTGTCCTTCATTATTTCTGTTATCTCATGCTTCCCGTCGCCTCGGCCGCGCGTTCCTCTACCATGCAAGAAGCACGCTCTGGGGTGACATTAACAACACCAGCTTTAAAAACACTTTAATCAAGTCTTGTACAATATCATGTGATGTACTAGGTGGAGATGTTGCCAGAGATGTAGACCATCTTGGCTTAGAAATGAGAAAGTTCTTGGGCTCTCCGCTACGGGAAGATTATCCGGGTATCTTGTCTGAGGAGTCGAATAGAAGAAAGATGCGCCCCTCACAAAGTTAAGTAGTGGTTTAAGTGTTTAAAGCCTTTTTGTTGCTTTCTTCTATCAAAAGAAACAGCTTTTTCCCTTAGATTTTTCATTTATTTTTCTGAATGACCATGAAGCCCCGTCTTCACTTCGCCCCCTCCATGCAGGGAACACATCACATGTTAAATATCACAACATGCGATGCAATTGTTGCTGTGCACATCTCATTTTTCCATACTGATGAGCTCTTGTTCTTCAAACTTACTGAAGCGCCGCTGCAGCTGCTTTTGTAACGAGGAAAGCACATGTTATTCTGCCTTCCTCGCAATCCACTTTCTGCTGCTCCCTCAAAAATATTCCCAGCATCGTCTCTACAAGCTCCCGCATTCCGTTGTTCTTTCCTCATCCTATCATTCTTCTTAATAATAAACCCATCCTTCTGCCCTCCCTCTTTTTCCCGCTCTCTGCGTTGTGTTCCAAAGTTTCTGTGGCCGCCTTTTTCGCGGTACGAACACTATTCCTTCATATAGCCTACCCTTTCCTGTCTCCCATCCTATTTAATTTTTTTCCTGACCGATCATGCATCTCACTATGGCAGTTCACTCCCTTCTGCGGGTATTTTCCTGTTCAAATGGATTGTACGCAATGCAACTCAAGGCGAGGCTCCGCAGTGCGACGCAGGTCAAAACTTTAATTGTCCACATGATCGTTGTTTGTGATGCATGTCAAATACTAACACATAAATTTACCAGCAATAGCGCTCTGTTCGACAATTGAGCTTCAAAAGTGGGAGGGAAATGAAGGAAACTTAAAAAGTGCTTACTGCTGTGACGAAGCTTGCTAGTCGCCCTTTCAAGCTGCTCATAAACCTCCAAGATATTTAAACTTGCAAGTAATTATATTTGTTAAGTTTTACAAAATCACGATCGGGGATTAACAATTTGGTAGTTTGCGATTCGTGTTTTCTGAGCATTTTTTTTGGTTCGTGGACCGTAGCCTACGTTCCCTCTCGCCGTGCGCCCTTCAAGAAGTTCTCATTAGCCTCCCCTCCTTCGTACCCATTACCACCTGTCAAGAGTTTACGAGTGTGATGCTTGGTAAGACAAAGATATCGAGAATATGAAAAATGAATTTTACTTTCATGAACCGTAATTTTTGAGACACCCAAATATCACTTGCATAATATGAAAATTGTGATTTACGTGCAACAACCAGTGATGGGCCGCTCCTTCCCCCTGACTCCCTCTAGATGGAAATTAGGTCATCTTGTTTTTTTTCTTCGAGCGAAGGTAGGAAGAAAAGGCAGTGGCTGACTTCATCACAAGCTGCAGCTGTGGAGGCCGCTTTTGATGCTTGGGGAGGAGACTGGAAAGAGCAAGGAGAAGAGGAGCTCGAGTCACTGGCCGCTGCAGTATCTCTGCCCCCACGGACAATAAAGAAGCGACTTGCCTACCTCAGACAAAAAAAGAAATTTGTCCCAGACGAGATAAATAAAGATAGAAAGAAAAGAGAGTGGTTGACGCCTCTACAAGCTCAAGAAATAGAACTGGCTTTTCACAGATGGGGTGGGGAGTGGGAGGGGAAGGAGGATGAAGTCATTCATTTAGCAGCAAAATTGGGCTTACCATGCCGTAAAGTGAAAAAACGTTGCGCTTATTTGAGAAGCAAAAGTAAAGGGAAGGGAAAAAATGATGCTGTGACACAAGTTGGGCCCATGCCTACGTCGACATGTCCTGTTTTTCTTCCTCATGTAGCATCCCTCGGATTTGCCGAGCTGAAATTGGAGGAGGAGGAGGCAGCAGAATAGACAGGAGGTGGAACAGAGAAAGTGAGCTTAAAAATCTAGGCAAACCAAAATAAGAAATGTCCAGGGCGGGAGCCTTAAAGAGGTGCGTCTTCCCTCCGGCCAAACTAAAATTTATCCGCCCGCCCTTACGACCGTTTCTTTTCTAGTTCAGCCCTCCTCCACCCGTCCCTCCACTGGGACCACGCTATTATAGTGCTCGCCCAACGCGTAAAAATGCCTGTGGTAGGACAATAGGAGGGGCGTGGCCTGGTCGTAGTCCTCTGCCCCGATTATGTAGACGGGTTGCTCCGCAGCATACACCCGAATGGGTGTCTGGTACGCGTGGCACTTGGAGAGGAGGAAGGGATAGGAGGAAGGAGGAGCTGATTGAGCCGCGACAAGGGGGATCAGCCCGGGACCAAGGTCGCGCGTTCGTCTCTCTTTCCTTCCGTACGGCCCTGACTCCCTCCCTCCCTCCCACACTCCCTTCCTCCCAACCC